CCCTCTAGATAAATATAATGCTATACTGTGGAAAATGCACGGCAAAGCATTAACATCTCAATGGAGACAATAATAGTATAACATGCATTTCTCAATATTAATAATGCTCTTTACACTGCATTATTCATTCACTCCAAGAGTCAACGGTGATGAGCTTCTATTGTAGCCACAACTGCCTTGAGGCAGACTGAGGCCCCTTCCACCCCCCCAACACTCACACACACACACACACCACTTCCATACTAGGAAATATGAGTGAAGTGCCTTGCCTAAGGACACAGCAACATTTTTGCCATTGCTGCCCCACTGTGGCACCTGGTATTCTCCCATCCAAGTGCTAACCAGGTCTGGCCTTGCTGAGCTTCTGAGATCTGATAAGATCAGGCTCTGACAAGGAGGTGCTACCAATCCCCTCCCAGAAAAGTTGTTTGGTAATTATACGACAAAGTTTACTTCAACACAAAGAGATCTTCTGCCAAGTGCATGGAGGCAGAGTGGTTAGCCAGGACCACATTATCAAACATTTATTTAACATACAGTCTTATATTTGTATCAACTATAGAGTTAGTGTCCCAGCCCTTCCCCCTTTACCACTACAGTTTACATATTACAATACGAATGTCAACGTAAGTGCTTTTATTATTATCCCGGCTTCAATTTCACTCGTGTCACTTCCGTCGCGTCCCCGGTACATTTGTCCAAAAGTATATTGGGACAAAATCTCCTCTATCACTCCGGCTCTGATTGTCACGTCACCGTCCACGCTACCTGCCAGCGCTTTTGCTTTTCAAACTCCCATTTAAATAAGCCTCCGACGCGCTATCTGGAACAATATGTCACTGCTAGCGTCCTGGAGTGATATTCCGTTTTTATTTCTTTCTTTTTGTTTAAGCGTAGCGGTGAGGGGCGTAGCATGCTAACAGATTTGCCTGTGACATGGCCATTTATCATTGGAAATTTACCTGCAGTGACAAGGAATAATAGTGTTGTTGTGGTGGACACTTTGAGAGCCTTCCTTATCACATCCTACTGGAGCGCTGTTAAAACTATCCCCCTTTTTTTCTTTAAGTTTCTATCTCTCCTCGCCAAAGCTTTCGTTTTATTCCGCCATTTTTATCTTCGCTTGGGTATTATCTTTATACGGACCCGCATCCCGGTTCCTGATAGGGGCCAGAAGGACATGATTAACCAAGGGAAGGCTTATCTCTTCCCAGTATAGGAGGCTCATCCCGGGACCGCTAATGTCCACAATAATAAAGACGCTTTAAGCTTAAAGTGGAGGGCGCACGGGTGGACCAGAGACGCACTTACTGTAGAAAACATGGCTCCAAGATAAGTCAATATGGAGTATGGAGCGCTTATCGATGCTGGACACCGGCTGGACGAGATTTGAAAGAATATCTATGTACGGGGCAAGCGTGGGTTGTCAAAAGGATCGAAAATCAGTCATGAATCGATACCGAAACTTCTATCGAGCGAATATTGATACTAAAAAGTCAGAAATGAACCTTGCCTGAATAGCTTTAGAACAGGGGTGGGCAATTATTTTTTCCATGGGGTCACATGAGAAACAGAAAATATTACAGAGGGCCAGGGCAAATTCTACATGATATTAATTGTATTTCTTTATAAAAAGCAGTAAATAGCATTGTTTTGACAAGATGTAAGCCTGGTAAGAGTTTATGTTATGACTAAGGCAGGGGTGTCCAAACTTTTTTCATCAGAAGCAGAGGGCTGATCGAGGGCCGTAAACTGGTGCTCAGTACAGTGAATAATTGAAATATGTGCATGTTTAACTCGTTAGAATGAGCCATCAGACTGCAAAGATCCTTAAAACCACACACTTAATATTTATCAAGGTAGACTTTCAAAAAAACTTGCAGTAAAAAGTTAATTTTCAATTGATGTAAGGTCATTTGGGCCAGTTCACCTGGAAGTCTGAGGGCCAAGAAAAATTTGAGGTCGCCTTACAAAAAATGTAATTAAAAAAAAAACACTTAAACTTTACTCAAATAAAAGCAATGCATCTTTAGTCCATGCGGGAGGTAAAATGATAAAATATGTTAATTTTGTAATTCCAAATTATCTTAAATGGGCCGGTCAGAATCAACCAAAGCACCATATGTGACCCAGCAGCTGTACAATGCCCAGGTCTGCTTTAGAAGGATCTTGAGTTGTACTGGGACAAGTATAAGAGCCCATAAACGCCCATGGACCACTATGGAACCTACTTGGACCACTGAGGGATTACACAGATATAAGACCACATGGTAAAATGCTGAAAATGACATTCCATTGACTAAACAGAGTCTTTATTAGCATTGTGACATTGAAATTGGTATTGAGTATCAAGTTCCTTACTCGATACTTGGTACCATTTGGCCCCGGGGAAGACCCAGGACACGCTGGACGGACTATGTCTGGAGAAGCTGGAGGAAGTGTCCGGGATGAAGGAAGTCTGGGAGTCCCTGCTTAGACTGCTGCCCTGGATAAGATGAAGAAAATAGATGGATGGACTCTTCTTTAAGTTTAAATTATAGTAAAATGACAACACTAGATGCGAGTTTTAAATCTGTTGTGCGTTAAGACAATCTGAAATGAGTGAATGTAAAATGCTAATGGGTGTACAGTGGTCCCTCGTTTATCGTGGGAGTTACGTTCTAAAAATAACCGGCGATAGGTGAAATCTGCAAAAGTTAGTTTTATATTTTACAATTATTATATCTGTTTTAAGGCTGTAAAACCCCTCACCACACGCTTTTTACACTTTTCTCAGACAGGACAGTTACAACCCTTTGTGCATCCTTCTTAAAACTTATCGCTGCTGTTGTCCTTATGTTATTTTCCTCCTTCTTTATGTAACGAACCGAAGATTAATTTATTCCGTAATGGAGTCCCGCACTGGTCCATTTTTGGAGACCCGCACCCTCGCAGTGCAGCAGGTCTGTTTGTGATGAGGAAACAACATAACAGATCAGAAAGTAGCGTAATATGGGCCCTTTAAAACTAGTCATGCACCTCATTTGTTGTTTTTTTTTCCCAAACGAATGAAACGTCCAAGTGCTATATATTCACCGAAGCACGACTAACAAGTGTAAACATCGACGGAGTTGCTTTGTTCGTCGGCTCTTGCGCGTCCATAACCTTTCGCGTGTACGTTTGCCTCTCTGTGTACCTCATTAAAATCTCGCCCCGCTTTGAACTTTGACCTTTGCCGGTTGGTTTCCAGGGGCAGCCACTCACAAGCCCGACGCGGTGGAGCCGGAGAAGCAGACCGACCACACCGTGAAGATCGCCGGAGTCATCGCGGGCATCCTCCTCTTCGTCATCATCTTCCTCGGCGTGGTTCTGCTCATGAAAAAGAGGTTAGTATGAAACTTGTGTATGTGAAAATACAGTACTGTAATAGTAAGAGGTGGGTAGAGTAGCCAAGAAATTTACTTAAGATGCACTATGTAACTTTGGTTGGGGGTCTGTCACTTGCTTGTTTCTATGGAGATGACTTTGGGCTGTCTGGAATGTTCCACAGTATCACTTTAAACACCTCTACCTCATATTTATTCAATTACAGGTGGTTTTATAGCTCAAAAATACCTCGAAAAACAGACATTCTGACTGTGAGCGGGGTCGCCTCTCCACAGATCTGACCTGTAACTTGTTCTGGTTTGGTCTCCATGAAGCTAGAAAGGTTTCAGGTTCATACTGTGAAACATTCCAAACAAAGCAATAACATCTCCATGGAGAAAAGCATTTGACGGATTCTCCACCAGAAAAGTTACAGAATGCACCTTTAAAGTGGCCTCAACCATTTCAAATTAAAGGGGCGAGTGAGAGAGGAGGAGGGGGCGGGGTCTGGAGGTGTAAAGGGCAGTGTGATTGGTCTAACAGTAGGGATGTAACGATATCCAAATCTCACGGTGCGATATTTTGAAGAGGTTGATATAATTGTAGGGACACATTTTTTGCTTTTAAAATACCTTGACAAGATTTTGTGGTGAATTTTTTCCATCATAATCCCAAGACTTCAAGTAAAAAACATATTTCTTCATGTTGTCTGCACTGAAATGAATCATGGGATATGTAGTTCCCGATGTTTATAAGCTGTTGCTACTATAAAACCATACATTTAAGCAAAGGAACTTGTGATTTGATATATTTTGACAGCCCACGATATTATTGTGAGACTTTTGACGATACGATATCACGATATTTCGGTTATTGTTACATCCCTGATCAGAATCAGATCTGGCTATAATCAGGTCAGTCTTGTGTAATGTTATAAACTACTAGAATTTTGCAGAGGTCACTGAAGGCAACACAAACTTAGATTTAAGTGTTTTTGACCAAGAAGCTGCAAATGTACTTAGTTTGTACTAAAGTTGCATAAAACATATAGTAGAAGCGACAAATGGACTTTGTGTTTAGTTTCACTTCATCCAAGAGTACCATTACTTCAAAATATCATGGGACATCTTCCTCAAACATTGAGTTTATTTGCAGTCTGGTGTGGATCTCTGGGATTGAACTTTTGAAGTTTAGTTTGTATTATTCAATGAAAATGTTATGTTATGAATATATACATTTACTTGATGAAAAGATCTATTTTTAGTCATGATTCGAGTCATTATGATTACTTTTTAATTTTGTTATAGTCAGCAAAAAATATTATATTGGCGGTACTATAACAGTATTATTTAGATTTTAGTCCACAAAATTACCGTATTTTTAGGACGATAAGGCGCACTTAAAAACCTTTTAATTTTAACAATGCGCCTTATGTATTAATTCTTGTTGTGCATACGAACCTCAAACCGATTTTATGTGGAACACGGCGCTCAAAAATCTGTCAAAATGCTTTTGTACGACTTTAGGAAGCTACGAAGCCGCACTGCTTGATGAATTGTCGGAGCATTGCGGCTACCGTAGTCAGGAGCCTCGTGGAGTAAGTGAGTCGTGTCCTTTAGTCCGACAGAAGCTGAATGCATCAGGGCACAAGGAGCGAGCTGTTTTTTCAGGGCTTATAGTTTATGCAAATGAATTTTAAGTTTTGTTTCTGTAAAACATAAACAAATGTGCACAAAGCTGCATTAAACACATTATTACTCAATGTATATTTGAGTTGTCCTCATAGGAAATAAAAAACAAACTTGAATTATCCACCCACATTCGCATTCATAATACACATTAACCAAGACAGGGAGGCAACGCCGGGCGAATTACGCCATGATCTGCCAATGGATCATGGATGTCTGAGCTAAAGTTTCAGTCTCAAGTGTCGTCCATTTGTTTTGCTTAATGCGCCTTATAATCCGGTCCACCGTATGTATGAAAATAGACGAGAGAATTCAACATTACTGAAATTGCTCCTTATAATCCGGTGCACCTTATAGTCCGAAAAATACGGTAACCCAGAACTGACCCATAACAAGTCCATTGATATTTTCTTAGTCGGTCCTCATCAGGTGACAGTGACTAGTGACCAAAAACAGGCAAAATTGTGTAAGTAAGGGAGTCCTGACCAAGACTAGTTCAAGATTGTACCTCTCTGCTCCTGACAAGCTGCTCTAGTGGTGTTGTAGGATGGGTCAAACGCTGAGGATTTTTCTATGGGGACAACAAAGTACAATAAAGTGCACTTTCCTTATTCATCCCCTTTTGAGATCAGTTTTGGTGCCCATATTATTCTTGGTTCTTTAGTTTCAGACCAACTTAAAACTGATTTTGCCCATATTTAGTCCTGCTTAGCCCTCGTTTCTATTCCCTTTTCTTACCAGACTTCGTTCAGATCTTCATCCCTCACACAAAAGCAGTCGGCATCCATCTCACTACATATTAACAACACAGTGGCTGCCCGTGCTAATAGATATTTTGTATGTTTCTCCCTCAAACTGTAGCATTGTCAGTGTCGAGCTAAATAATTAATCTGATTGTGTTGATACGCCCCATTAAGGCTGTTTACAACCGCAAGAGGAGAGAGCCATGAAAAATTAATCCAGCTTGGCGGTTTCCTCAAACAAAATGCACCCACCCCGCTCCAGTGGCACCCAAATGGGAATCGGTTTTGTTTTGGAGCCGGGTGATAAAGAGGGAGAACGCAGATGAGAAAGAAATCATGATTAAAGGGTGAAAAGGCCTGGTTTAGAAGACTGGGTTGAGTTCTAGTTTAGACAGTGGTGGAGGATGTACTTAATTTTGTGACTTAAGTGAAACTACGGAAAGCAGAGCAAAGGAATAGTCAAGTAAAAGTATCACAGAACAAAACTGACTTAAGTATTAAAGTACCTGTTTAAAAAAGTACTTAAAGAGTGAAAAGTTAAAGAATTTTGTTCAGATTTTGAGACCTAATAAAGCTTCAAATACAGTGATTTTGTTAAGATTTATGCTGAATTTTGTTAAACGGAAACAAATGAATCAATTTTTTTTTTTTAATCCCCTTTCTCCATGTCTCAAACTGTGATAAATACTTTTTAAATACTTTTTTGTCCAGTTAAAAAGTGAAGTAGCGAGTACAGACACCTCTGAAATGTAGTAAAATAAAAGTGAAATGTAAAATGTTTAAAATGTACTTCAGTAAACCAGTTCCTCCACTGTGTTTAGACCTGGTTTAGTCATGGTTTTGTATTGAAAATGAGAAAACAATCAATACTGAAACTAGTATCGAAACTAGATACTCATTTGGGCAGGTATCGATACTAAAAAAGTCACATTCACAGGACAGAAATGAACCTGAGTCCTTTTCATTTGTGCATTTTAGTTCTGATAAACTTGGTTAATCCTGTTCCAATCCTGGTTTAATCCTGGTTTCGTCTTGCCTAGTTTACACAAGTTGCCAAAAAAGATTATTTATAGTTTAGTTGTACTTTAAAATGTCTTCAGATGACTTTTTCACTTTTCAATTACAGCTGGATTTAAAACTGGAACCAGATTTCACTATTAAGAGCTTTTATTTAATCACATTATAATGTTTTCCCTTTATCATTAACCCACTCAAAGTTGTATTTTGAGTGATTCATGCATGTTTATGTATGTTTTATTGTCATGCATATGAGAGACCATTGCTCTGAAAATTCCTGTTTTATTTTATATGTAGGATTTAAAACACCCATATTACACTATTTTCCGATCTATTTTATAATATTGTTTCCTCATCACAAACAGATCTGGAGTTGTGTTTTGTTTCATTCACACACGTTTAACACATAAAACCTGGGTTCTTCTCTTAAACTCTTAATCAAACACTTATTAATGTTTATTAAGATTTCAGTGTATGCACAGAAACATTGATTGTAATCTCCACTACTTTAATGGAAAGAAAATACTTACTGGGTTAGTACTCGCAAAATACAGCCTTAGACAAAAATGCATTGAAAGTACTTTATAAATACTAATTTAGATGTAATTAAGCACTTATTATGCATTTTACTATTAACTGCCTACTAATATGGAGTCCCTAAACGACTTTGTTCGACCTTGTGATGTCGTGTTAATACAGGAAGTGCACCTTGTGTTTTTTAACTTCATACACCTTCACTAGAATCATCTGAATAAATTGCTGCCCTGGATATCCAGTCTCTACTGAACTAAAGATAAAAGGAGCTGTTAACTTGAAAACTACTGCTTCATGACTTCACAAGGTGGAACAGAGCGTTTTTTTTTTGTTTTGGAGATGTAGCAGGATTAGTCAAACACGTGTGAATGAAACAAAACACAACTCCAGGTATGTTGCCTGAGGAGGTCAAATGAAACAGAAAACGCACACCAAAGAAGAGGTAGAGGTAGAGTAGAGGTGGAAATGCAAGGAACCTGCCAAATAAAAGTGAAACAAGCGTAATCAGAGATAGCAACGTGGTCCCCCATGAGGCATCAGTGGAGACAGTTCATCACCACAGAAGCAGCTTATGAGGAGCCCAGCCTGTACCCCGGTTATGTGTGTGCCAACTTGTGTGATGATTGGGTGAATATTTTAACCCGCAGATGGTTCAGAAATTGACGAAATTGCCTATCGTTTATAATGGCGTGACCTTTCAATTAATCCGTGTGACCTCAGATGATCTTGGATCGTCACCAAACGTTTTTGGCGGCATCGGGCGCAGGGGCTTGACCCACGTACCGAATTTGGTGACAGTCGGTCCATAAATGGCGGTGGACAGACACACACACACACAAGTGAATACAAAACCTGGTCAACCCTTCAGGGACCAGGTTAAAATGCACAGCAAACTCACATGGCCGATGTCCAAAAGCTTTTTGTATTTTTAAATAACGTTTCGGTAAGAAAAGCCTTCGTCTGATATTTTTCTTGCTTTGGACCACAGTTTGACCACACAATAAGATACTTGGTCCAAAAGCAAGAAAAATATCTGAC